GCTTTTGGCCATGAATGGAGTTCTGATTTTTGTGGCGCTTTCCATTGGCGCACTTTTAGCATTGTTTGGCTGTTTCTTCTAACTGTTTGTCCATGAAGTGCCAGTATACATAACTGCGGGTAAGCGCCTTCATCCGGCTGATCCCAAGATGCCCGGCGTGGAACTGCCGAATAAGACGCTCCTGAAGTGCCTTGGGGATGACTGTCCTTTCAGAAAATAGTATGCAGTCCTTCACAATAGAGAGCGAGTGTCTCCTCTGGAAGTACTGTTGCAACTCCACAGATGGACAGGAACGTGGCCAACTTGTTTTGTGAAACGGTGTAACTTTCTTGAGTACTGAGTCCAGAAGCGTTTCGGTTCGTACAGCTTCTGCGGTAACTGGTAGACCGTGCAATGCATCACTTACCAGCTAGTTGGTGTCAGGTTTGATCTCGACTGAGACAATGATTGTATCCTCATGTGCTTGCTGATAGGCATCAATTAGGCGTAACAGTGCATCTGCTTCGCCGATGGAAATTGTCGACTGGCAGTGGATTTCGAAATGATACCCCATTAAGGTAAGAGCCCAGCGTTGTAGCCGGTTGGCTGTGTTGGCCGGGATGCCCTTTTTCGAACCGAAGATAGCCAGCAAGGACTTGTGATCTTTCAGAAGCTTGAAGCGGTGGCCGTATAGCATTTGGTGCAATTTCTTGACCGCGTACACTATGGCCAATGCTTCTTTCTCAATCTGGCTGTAATTCCTCTCGGCCTTCGTAAGTGTTCTGGCGGCATTGGCGACTGCTTTCTGAGATCCATCGGTGTACGTGTGTGAAATTATTGCGTCAATCCCATGGCTTGATGCATCTGTGGTTAGGACAATCTCTTTGGTGGGATCAAAATGAGTCAAAAGTTTGAGGACAGCAATGTCTCGACCCGTCCGAAGACATTCTGGCATTCTGATGTCCATTTCCAAGCTTGGCCTTTGGCTAGTAGCTTGTTTAACGGGGCACGCAGGCGATGCATCTCAGGCAAGAATGCGCTGTAGTGGCTGATGAGCCCCCACCCCCAGTGGAACGCAAGGACTGTAAATCTGTTGGTAGAGGCATTTTTCTAATGGCTTCTACGTTTTCGGGATCTGGTCGATGTCCATCCTTTTCGAAGATAAAAACCGAAGTATTTGATGATCGGCGTGAAAAATGTGCACTTATCCTCACGGATTCGGAAACCGTACGATTGTATACAACCAAGCACTACATCCAGGCGCTTAACTAGCTCTTCTCGTGTTCGACCCATCACTATGATATCATCCAGATATGCAGCGGCTCCAGAAACGCCAGCTAGCATGATATCCATCAACTGTTGGAAAATGGCTGACGCCGTTTTTACACCAATGGGCAAGCGGTTGTATTAGAATAGCGCACGATGTGTGTTGCTCGTCAACAACTCCCTCGAGACTTCGTCAACATCCACTTGAAGGTAGGCATCGGATAGATCAAGTTTAGCAAAGCACTTACCACCATTCAGTTTTGCAAAGATATCTTCGGGCACAAGTAATGGGTACTGGTGGTCGTCCAGCGCGGCGTTGAGGCCAGTTGAGAAGTCAGCGCAGACGCGTACCTTGCCGTTTGCCTTCTTCACTGCGATGATAGATGCGGCGCATGATGAGTAGTTGACGGCTGTGATGACTCCGGCTGGTTCCAGTCGCTCGAGTTCTTGATCAACGGTTGACATGACTTCATATGGTACCGGTCTTTTAGCCTTGAACACTGGTTTAGCACCTGGTCGCAAGCTCAGCGTTGCCTCGAATTTCGTACAATGGCCCAAGCCATCCTGAAAGACAGAGGCAAAGTTCCGCTTCAGCGAACGTGTCACGTCTTCGATAGACTTTGGTAATAGATCTGGACTTGCTCGAACTCGGTAGCAGATGTGATTCAATGGAATATCGAGGAGTTGCAACTTTTCAATCCAGTCGAGACCAAGAAGATTCAAATTCGGCAAGTCTGAAATCTAACACGTTCCCGACATTTCCACACCTTTGAATGCAATCTTGCAAGTAAGTTCGCCCACTAAGTTTAACACACCGCCGGATGCATATCCGAGGCCATGTCAAATTGCAGTTTCGTTGGGATCCCATTGATCAACACCCTGATAAATTGTCGTCTCGGTTTACACTCACTTTGGAATGCGGCAACTATGGACAGAGACTGCACCATCCTTCCTAGAATTCCCGTTTCGATAAGACTTCTTTACATTCCTCTGCCGGGCCTGACTGCAGAATTCCTCCGTATACCCACACTTATGTCACCTTTGACAAATCTGACGTTTGAAGGGGCAAAAGCGTGCGAAATGTCATTCGCCGCATGACCAGCATGCTGTGAGCGGTTTGTTCGTGGACCTCTTGAATAGTTTGCTTGGGTTGACCGTCCTGGCCTTTTTCACGAAGTGCACGGTATCTGATGGTGCGAGACCATTCCGTTCGACCAGGGCAGTTTCGTGTTTTAGAGTGAGCAGCCGCTTGCATTTGCTTACGAGGGCCTTCAGTGTGAGATCAGGATCCTGATCCAGCTTAGCTAAAAGCCTCCTGCGGATCTCAGCATCACTGGGGGATTGTAGAGCGCTGACGAGAATGAGACACTTAAACTGATCATCCGTTAAAGCGCGTAGTTTGAAACGTTCACACTCACGGTTAACCATGTCTGCTAGGGCCCCAAAGTCGTCTCATTCCTGTTTGACAATTTTCAGGCATTGATAGCGAATACTAAACAAGGATAATGACTCACAAACAATTTCCTTCAGCTGCGACACTACTTCGTCAAACATCAGATCCTTCGGCTGTTTGGGCAGAATCTGGTCTACGAACCTTGAATCTTCACTTGTTTCGAGCTTGCGGAGTAGCATTCGCACCTACTAAGAGTCGTCCTGACGAATGAAGTCCGTCCGGAACATATTTTCTCAGCGCTTGACCCGCGCTTCGCATATGCATCCAGAATCCGCGTCATAACTGAATCCAGTGATTGCATTCGTGAGAAGATCAACAGAACTCGCCTGCGTGTCCCGCGTCGCTGCCCTTGTTGACTTCTAACTCAAACATTTGCCAATTTTTCAATCATTTTATTTGTTCAGCTAATTCATCATTGTCACTCCCAATCGGCAGACTTAGACTAGTCTGTAGAAGTACCAGACGCCGGCGTTTCGACCTTCTGAGTCTCGTCAGTGGTGCGCCACCCAGCGGACCCCTGCCTGGTTCCTCCCCCATGACTTCAGGTTGCTAGCAGTTAGTGCCACTTCGCCACGGCTGACAGCCCTGGACCTGGGTGATTGACAGTTGAATATATTATAGCCCAGCTCATCTTCCACTGCCATGCCAGTTACGAACTGTGCGGAGGGCTATGGCTAGCCTCACGAGCTAGGACTTTTCGCATAGCGCCTCCATTTGAGATTGCTGTTGGAAAAGCAGCTTTTGAAATTGTCCAGCAGAAAATTTTATCACGTTTCCGATTTTCTTCTTTGTCATTTGTTATAATCTCTCAAGACACGATTCCGAAATAGGCACTTTATCGTTCCGCAACACTTCTAGCCCAACCGAAGGAAAAAGCAGTACGGCAATGACCTTGACAAAATAACGTGTTAGCCGCAGTCAACAAAACACTGTACAACTGCCGCGGACTTCGGCTGTATTTATAGGACTCTTTCTGACCTTCGCCTTCTGGAATTGGAACGTCAGCTACCAAGCTTATTGGTTCCCCATAGATTTGGCCGACATGCCAGTTGGTTGGTAGTCACGTGCGGAACTTGGAACATTCCAAAACCTTCGCATTCGATGCGATAATCGTTAATAATCGATTGCTCACTAAAATGATGGCTTTTCCGGGCAATTCTTACTTTACCCCGGACAGTGACAAAGTCATCATCATACACGTTCGCTAGAGGTGGGAAACACCTCAGCTACTGTGCCGCAACAGTGACAAAGTAAACCTATTTGATTCAATTTTGGTCATCAATGGCTTCTGTCTGCTTGTTATTTTTAAACTATTAACTTCCTCACATGAATGCCAAGCTCCGTGTCCGCGCAAATCCCCTGCAGCGATATTCTAACTAGATAGTCATTTTACCATTGATTGTTGGGAATGAAATGCTAGACCAAATGGCAACTTAGCTACATTCTCGCTTCATTTTTCTAAATGCCAGCTGGTGGCCGAAAGGAGTGTATGCCTGACCTGCAACTCTGAGGTTACCAGTTCGAATTCGCGTAGGTGCGGGTGTTCTCGCGGTATACTGAACCCACGCGCTACCGGTAGTGTTCGCGTAGTAGCGTAGCGTCAGTGCAGTGTGCCGGCATACTGCAGACGACTTTTCTCTTTGTAAACCCTGAATGTTAGTGCCTGTTATTTGTTCGAATCTCTTGTGGTTATTCGTTAAGTTTATGGCAGCCCAAAGATTTATCGTGTTCACTCACGCCTCATTCTGCACCGTTGGGTGAATCCACTGTGACTTCCATATCATATTCAGAAAGTAATTGACTGGCTGAGTTCCTACACAACCCATACTACAACACATTTTGATGGGCCCTTCATCCTGCCGCACAGCGTAGTACAACATAGCTACACAATATTTGTTCCACTTTGCTTGTTCTCCGCATCCTCTTAGATTTGTTCCTTTTTCTTTGCTGCGGTGATCCACCTACATTCGTCTCGCTTGTTTCTAAATGCTTTCCCTGTTTTCTTGTTTCCTCTATGTAGTGCATATTTTCTGTTCCGCTTGGTCTGTAAATGGTCACAACTTCGCTCGTTTGACGTTGACGTTTGAAACACCGTAAGACGCTCGCTCACGCGGCACGGTACTTAACATATAAGGCCGGCGATCTTTTTTGGTTGGATTCCACTGAGCACCTGTCCATATCTCGACAATTTGTCAGTATCCAACCCGCACGTCATAATTGCTTCTCTCCCCACCTCGAATTTCACGTGACCTTTGTTTTCTGTTACATAATGTTGGCATTCTTAACCCTTGTCCATGTTTAGGTTTTGAAAGCTCGCAATTGTTTCACCAATGAGGATGTGGCCATAAAAGTTATAAAGAATAAGCGTGCTTTCACTATCCAAGCTCAAGTGGAAATCCGTTTATTGCGTGAGATGAATCGCTACTTGGAAGAGGCTGAAGCCTCTGGAGAACACCCCCCTCTTGGAGCAAACTATATTGGTAAGTTGTAGCTTTTTCTCCAGCCATCCACTATGGAAATCACTGCAACGTCCAATCCTAGTATACTATTCTCCCTTACCCTTACTGAGCTGTTCTTTCACCCTCTGCAATAGCTGATTTGTCTACACTGGAATTCCCCTGTGGAGTAAAATGAGCCACATATCTGGATTTTTGTATTGAGTGGCATAACCGCGTCGGATCTCGTCGCTCATCCTAATTTTCTTCTCCATCTGTTTATGACTGTTCTCATCTACCGCTAATTCAACCAACAACTACTATCTAATATTTTACTTTTACCTTCCAGTTCGCTTACTCACACATTTCACTTTTCGCGGACATCTCTGTCTTGTGTTCGAGCTACTGTCCTACAACCTTTACGATTTGTTGCGCAACACCAATTTTCGTGGCGTCTCTCTCAATCTGACGCGCAAATTCGCGCAACAATTATGCCACGCCTTGGAATTTCTTTCTCGTCCCGAACTTCGCATAATTCACTGCGACTTGAAACCCGAGAACATTTTACTTGTCAATCCCAAGAGATCGACCATCAAACTTGTCGATTTTGGTAGTTCATGTCACGTGAAAGAGAAAGTATACCAATACATACAATCTCGATTTTATCGATCTCCCGATGTTCTTTTGGGTCTGGATTACACCATGAGCATCGATATGTGGTCCCTCGGCTGCATACTGGTCGAGCTACACACCGGCGAGCCTTTGTTTGCCGGTCAGAATGAGGTGAGTCTACTCTCCATGAGTTCTCCCAACCTGACTGAACGCTTTCTTTCGTAGTTTTTCAAATGAAACGTCCTATTTTTATTGTACCATCTGTCCTCATCTTCTGGAACGCACCGTTGTCAGCGAACTTACCGGTTGGTGCAACTCTGAGATCAAGATCCAAGATATTACAGGCTAACGACTTAATCATTAGAGGGTCTCTATTCCTGGTGACTTAACTATCGTTTTTATTACCCACTCCAACAGTTTTTTGTGAGAATTAAGCACTGCCAGTTGATTTATTTCTCATCGTTGGCGCTCCGAATACATGCAACGTTATACCCATCCATAACCAGGACTGTTCGTGACTACACTAGTTTCGGTGTACGTTGTTCGTTTTCTTGAAGAGGAAAGTAACTATCTTCAAATACTACAGAGCACTTCCTTATTTACCCTAGTTTCTAGTGCTTTTCGCAATACGTTGTGTATATGGATTTTATGAACTCTTGTCACGGAGTAACAGCTCTCGTGAACTCGCTTGCTTCTTTTGTTGGTTAATCTCCAACACTGGGCGTCTGCACACTCAGATTGTTTGCGAAATATCACTGGCGTGCTCGATGCATCAGATATGCAAGCGTTCGATGATGGGGCAACGACGCTGAACTACATAAGTTTATCTCCCTGTTCCTCTCACTGTACCTTCGATTTGGTATTAGAGTAACAGTCCTCGCGATCACCCGTCTTCGATGGCCACTTTGGCTCTTTGTGGTATATACTTTAATTTCACCTGACTGGTTTACGCCTTATTCTGGGCTGCCGGCAACTTGATCCACATAGCGAGGCCAGCGTTATTGCTTACTTGACTTTCTTGTCAGTCTAACTTTACTTATCGGACCTCGAGTGCTTCTCACTTGCTCATGCTCCTTGTCTGTACACCAGACTACAGTTAGTTTGGTCTTATCTTGTCCCACTGTATTGGCCTGTTTTTCGTCCGACTGATTACGATGCCTAGTGTTTTGCATAACTACACTATCTGCATTGCTCCGAATTCCATGTTACATCCAACCAGTCCAACACACTCGTGGCTTCATTAGCTACCTTGAGGAATTGGGGATTCCTTTTTACCGACACTTATATACATTCTTTTGAGTGCCCAATAGGTGATCTGCATCGTTCTTAACCATCCTCTTCTCCCTGCTCTCTTTTTCGACAGTGTCATTTTTTCCACCTTCCAAAGTAACAAAATTTGATCGAATTATTGCTGGACATAAATTAAACTTATGAATGACCTGGTTCTAAAGCTATGTTTGAATAGAGTTGCATCTTCCGACTATGAATGATACCTCTAGCACTCTCTTGATCCCTCCAAGGCGCGATGGTGATCTAAAACCAGTTCCTCCGCATCTTGCTACATTGTCGTCTGTCGATTAACCGATGTCTTACCGTTTCCTTAGAACTTTGAGCTAACCTAAAGAAATACAGCGAATTCCAGTGGTTTAATCGTGCACCGGAGATGGAATTGGTCGCTGACCTTATTAACCATCTGAACTTGTTCCCTTTGACAAAGGAAACGGGCAGCAGGAGACCTGATGTTAATGAAACTATATGTGACGAGAGTGAACAGCCCATCCACGACCTGTTAAAACGCTTGGGTCGTTGGGCTGAGCACTGCGAAAACATCTATTTAATCGGCCGGGATTGTCAAATTTTTCGTCGCTCAGTGATCGCCCTGCACCCTGGGCTGTCCTTTTTTGGATCTGCCCTCTCGCTCAGAAGCTGAACGTGAGATTGGACTGCTGAAGTTGAATAAGGCCGTCGGACCAGATGATATTCATCCAACCCTCTTCAAATCTATGGTACTTGCTCGTGTGGAAGATTTACACGAGTTACTAGTGCAACTGTGGAGCAGGAAATTATTGTCCCAACCGATTGGAGCCGCTCCATCATAGTCTCAATCTTCAAAGGAGGCTCCGGTTCGGGATGCGGCAACCATAAAGGAATCAGTCTAATCTCCATTGCCTCCAGGTTACTTGCCTCTGCAATTCTCCACAGATTGACGGGCACCCGAGTGAGCCAGATTCGTGAAGAACAAGCGGGGTTTCGTCGAGATCGGGGCTGCATTGATCACATCTTCACTTTACGTCAATTATTGGAGCACCATCACATATATTGGCGGCCCACGGTTGTCATGTTCCTCAACATCAAAGGTGTCTTGATTCGGTACATCGATGTGGGTTTTTTTTGGACTGTTTGCTCAGGAAAGGTGTGCCAGAGATGTTCGTAGATATTATCCGATCACTTTACGGGCATGGCTCGGACAGGGTTTGAGCTTACGGAAGGTTTCGCCGCCCCTCTGTCTCTCCATTGTTGCAAGACAAGAAAGCGCGGTGCCGCCTTTATTCTTCAACTTCGCCGTTCACGGCATACAACTTAGATGTGGCGCTGCTCCCAGGTGAACGACTTCTTGACTTTTAATATACTGACAACATTGCCATAATCTGTGACAGCTCTCAAACGTGCCAAGCAGCACTAGACTAATTGCTAGTATCTGTTAGCCGTTTCGGGCTTTGCTTTGCGCCCACATAATGCAAGACGTTTCTCTAAGGTTGACAGGGACCGCTTCCTACGCGGACCCTTGGTGGGGATCAACTGGAAGTCGCTCAGAAAATCAACCACCTAGGCAATTGGATCAATGCCCGTGGAATCGAAGAGGAGGTCACGAACCTTATAGCAGAAGCTCAAGGTGCTTTTGCTATAGTTCTCCACCTATTGTTTCGGAGTGACATCACTCTCTCCGTGAAGATTAAAGTGTAGAATGCAGCCGTACATTCGACTCCACTGTACGCTTTCAGAAACATGGTCCGTTTCATCGGCAGACGTAAATTGGCTAGTTACATTCGACCGCCGGTGCGTTCACAATTTGACTCAAGGCTGGTGGGAACACCGCGTGTGCAATGAGCGCGTTCGGCGCCTTGTTTATGGCACACAAAGAGGAAGTGAATCGCTCAGCACCGTTATCTCACGCATCAGGCTCCGATGGCTGGGCCGCGTGTTGAGCGTGCCAGCCCACCGACTCCCGCGACGTGCGTTGTTTTCCCCCCAGGGTGTGGATGGAAGAAGAGGAGGGGAGACCTAGGGATGACTTGGTCAAGAGAAACAAAGGCCCTAAATTCGAAGTTGACTTCAGTTAGCGCATCTTGTCTCCCTGGTTGGGGCCCGAAAGATGATGCGCACGTTTGGGTGGATACACTTGTCAGCATGGCTAGGAGCCAGCCTCAATGGCGTTTGTCTTGTGAGTTTCTTCTTCCACCCCCACCCAACCACGATCTGAATTTTGGCGCATAATATAACATTTTAGCGGCACATTGGTCGACTGTTAGCCCTCCAGAACGATGTCCATCCGTTACTGCTGACTCCGCTGGCATGCTTCTGCTTCGTCTTTCTTGTCTTCTGATGTATTGCGGTGATGATGATGATGAACATCGAGTTAGAAT